GACAAGTGTGTTTCTAGAGAAATAATAGGAACTGTGATTCTTTTTTTAATTATTTAATATTTATTTATTTATATTTTTAAAAATTAATTAATTTATTTTTCCAAATACATTTGTCTCTGCCTTCCCCCTACCACTTTCCCCTGCCCCCTCCCCCGCTCTCCCTTCCTCAATCCTTCCCCACTTTGGTTTTGTCCATTAGTCCTTGCTATATGTTCCTTGACTTGCCCCTTTCTTTAGTAGAATTAAGTAGATTGTCATAAGTGAAGATGGTCATATTTAAGAAGGAATAGTTTTGTGATAAATTAACAAAAAAGAATTTGATGAAGAAAAAATAACTAAATGATTTCTGTGCTGTTTAGATTATTCTTGTGAGTCCAGGAGTATAAGCAATGAAATACTTTACTCATTGAGAGCAGGAGCCTCACTCTTCTGAATTGATGGGGGACACCTTTTTGTGCTTCCTCACTGTTCCCACACAGCTTCACCTCCTAACACTAAGTGGTTTCCAGTGTCAGGGTGAAGCTCTGGCCTCTCTGGTTCCCCCTGAAATTAACAATCGGTCAGGAGTCAAATGGAATCTTTTTTTTTTTTTCCCACCAAAAGAACTCCAGGTGTTGGAGACAGTTTGTCTTCCTATTCTTGGCTTAAAGAAGAAAAAAGGTACCACTGCATTCTTTTATATACAGCAAAATATTGATTACTGAAATATATTCTGTGTAAGCTTGGCTCATTCTCTTTCTTCCACACCACAGAATAACTAACTATTCCATGTTTTTACTTGTTTCCAAGGAATTCTGACAACATCCACTTGAATTATCTTGTCAGTGTGGTAATGACTGCATCTTCGTGTGATAGATACACACAGCTTATAGTCTTCAGGGTCCACTTTTAAAATTACCTCTAAAGTAAGGACAAAGCATCTTTTGTTATCACTATTTTATTTCTCTGTTCCTGGGCATGTTGTTTGGATTTTCATGTCCTTGCTTTAGGTGGTCTTCTTTCCCCAGAAGTTATGAAGCTACGGGAAGGCTGGATTTTCTCATGTGTAAGGATAAGATATTATTCATATATAATTATGATATAATATATATTTTATTTCTCTTCTTATATAGAAACACAAATCCAGGATAACTCACTTTACTCTTGATCTAAATGAGTGCTGGGGAAACTCAATGTAAATCAAATCCCCTATGAGGCAGCTTTCTACAAAAAAGAATTATGGTGAAACTCCTGTTATAAAGAAAGGTTCCTTTCTTATAAAAAAAACAATATTGCCTGATGATATTAGGTTTTACTTATATTGAGTTTTTTTTTACCTAAAAGTCATACATATAAAATTTAAGTAAATAATTATCATGGAAATCTTTGGCCAAGGAATAACTCATCAGCAGATTGGAATACTTTCAGTAATGCCATATGGGTCAGTTACTGCTGTATAAACAAGAGATTGACTATAGTTTATATAAATGACCGTTACCCTGAGTTCCAGTTTATCAGCTCAAGCCTGGTGGAGCCCAGTGAACCAACCCTGCTCTGAAGAAGTTTACACCCCAGTCGACAGACACATCTCAGTGACACATTGTTAGAGAAGGCAAGCATTACAAATATGCTGATTGGATATGGAGAATAAATATGAAAACTGCTAGAAAAAGATTCTGGATTGAAGAATAGTGGGAGGAGGTTGGGACATGCAGAAGACATGAAGAGGAAAGCTTTGAACAGGGCGAAATTAAAATTAGAGTGACAGTAAAACTGAAGTGAAATGAGTGTCGGGTGATCAGCATTGAGGAGATAACGAGGTTTCTAATTTGTGTTATGAATTTATACTGAAGAAAAGTAGAAAAGCAAGCTACATTAGTAAGAATAACATCAAATAGTGGGTGATATATAATGTATATAATTGAGCGGACCATAAAAAAGGAGCAAATGATGAAAACTAAGGCCGTGTCTTTAAAGGCAAAGTAAAAAAGCAGATAAGGACAGGAGATGGGCAGGATTTGAGGAATGACATTAATTAGAGGGGAATGAAAGTCAACTAGCCTATGTAGGTACCCAGGGAGCAGATAGACCAGAAGCCATTGACAGAGAAAAACAGAATTGGGGGCCTGGTCATGGGCAGGCTTTCTTGGGGACCCTCTGCGTGATGTGATCAGCCACTCAACCACATTGAAAACCAGAATGTCAGCTCCCAGTAGCCAGATCTAGCCTGTTGGACTGTTTGCTGCTACATTTCCAGTGCCTAAGATAGCACTGTACAGTAGGAGCTCAATACATATTTCCTGAAATTTTACTACTTATTTTTTTTAAATCTTCACCAGGGGATATGTTTTCATTGGTTTTTGAGAGAGAGAGAGAGAGAGAGAGACATCAATGTCAGAGAGAAACATTTTCTCCCATCCTCCCAAACATACCCTGGCGGGGGATCAAACCCAATACCTTTTAGTACATGGGGCAACACTCCAACCAACTGAGCCACCTGGCCAAAGTTTGAATATTTACTATTTATAAATAGAGTTTGGAGTTCACTTTTCTTTGAAAACTTTCCCTCTTTCAGGTCGTAAACTTTAGTGTCAAAAACACAGATTTTGGAATCAAGTAGACCTGTGTTCAACTACTGACTACTTATAAACCTTGTCACCTGGATTAGCTACTTAACTTTTGATTCTGAGTTTTCCAATTTGTAAAATAGAGACCACTATCCATCTTGCAGTTCTATCATAAGGTTTAGAGATTATGAATGTGAAGTGCTCAGTGTACACCCCAGCACATATTTGTTATCCAGAGTCCATGGCACCTGTGAACTAAGAGCAGGTGCCACACAATTTATTCTCTCTTCACTTTGATCCAATCTTACATATTTCTGATTTATATCATTTATCACTTTGTACTATTATTAACATGTCTATCTTCTCTCTCGATGCACTAACTTCTTCGTGTATCAAATACAAATTTCTTTAATGTGCCTAGGAAATTGCTCTATTGAAATTCAGCATAATCCTTTTCTCAGTCAAGTTTTCCTGATCTGTTCAATCAGACTTCAGTAGTTTCTTCTTAAGTTAATGCTGAATATTTTACTCCTGATCTTACAAAAACTTAGGTTAGTGTTTGTCTTTGCTTTTAGAGCACAGGCATTATAAAGACAGGGGACAACATCCTAGCCACAAACCCTTGGTGCCTAGGAAACTCCCTGCTCTAACTCCTTATGTGAAAGGAGAGATGAGTACAAATAATTATGAAATTATATAATGCAAACCAACTGGGCAAGAAATGATTAAAGAAATGAAATACCTACCAGAAGATAGTTTCCACAGAAATTATTTTTAAAAAGAAAGAATGGACCAGTGGAAAAAAAAATAAATTTAAAGGGTTTAGGAACTCTTTCCTGTAGACAGTTTTGATGGAGCTGTCCAAGATAACAAGAAAGTTTAGAGAAGCATTAAAAAACTAATAATTTTTATACACGTGTCTTGATGTTGAAAATAGTGGCTACTGCATTCTATTTGACCAATGATTTAGGTACTTTCCACTCATTCCTGATCCCAAGAACCAGTGACCACAGCATCTCATATTGTCAATCAAGAGAACTCACTAAGCTTCCACAGTGTGCAAAGCAGAAAGTTGGTGAAAATGATCAATTAGATATGAAGATATGGGTCTCCCCTGAGGCTGGGAATCTAATTGGACAGACAGTTACAATGAAAAGTCTCATTGAAAACCCAGAATGAATTTCACATCATATTCTCAGATAAGGTGGGCAGTTTGGTGATATCAGTATGATATCAAGGGATAAAGCTGGAAGTTAAAATTCAGCCAAATAACTAGAAACAAATTTCAACTTGTCATGTAGTGACTTGTAGAATAAATAAAAAATATCTCATAAGCTTTAAATTGTACTCCTTGCATCCTACTTTATTACTCTGCTTACACCAAAAAGAAGATATCTGATTAAGTATTGCAGAGCATTTACAGAATTTAAAAGTCTATTCATGGGTTTTCTAGCAAGAGCATCTATTTTTTTTCCCTAGAAAGCACAACACTCTGGTATATATTCTATCAAATCCAAATGTTATTATCCAATAAAGGAAGTAGAGTACTTTGTCTATAAAAAATATATGAAATCTATATTTTTAAAGTATAGCCTCTGGTAAATAGAAAATTCTGTGTAATTAGGACAATAATTCATTATTTATTGATTTGTGTCTACCAAAAAAGAGAGCACATTATTTTATTTCTAAATGGATGCTGTTGGTACAAATGTGGCCATTTTAATACTCTGCCAACATAAAACATATTTTTTCATTAATCTTTAAGATCAATTTACAAATATTGAGGGATAAAATTACTTTTCAGTATTATTCTATATTAACTTTTAAATATCATGTGACTTACTTTAATACATCGTTCATTAGTGTTATTGTCTGAGAACTCAATGGCAGTAAAAAGCACATTTTGCAAAATGTAAAATCAGCTTAAGCTTGCGACCTTTTAAACATAATAGGAATTAGGTAGATATAGATGTCTGACTCCAGAACTCAGCAATATGTGTATGTAAAATCTAAATGATGATCTCATAGAGGAAATTTAACTCAAAGGCCACTGGTAGACCCCAAACAAGATGATCAGCATTCCTCCTAGAAACAATGCTGCAATGGTCATGAAATGAGAGGCTACCCTCCCAAGCAACTTTGTCCCTGTCAGCTCCTATTCATGTAAATCAGGCTTGTTTACCTGTTCCTAGCATGTAGAATTTCCAAGCTCTTACATTTCCAGGCATTTCAGCTCCTGCTGACACAAATAAATTTTGTAAATAGAATGGTACAGTATGTTCTGCTAGATATTTCAACCTGTTTGTATGTGTTTATGTAAGATGCTTTTTTGAATATTCTGACTGTGAGAGATCTGGGAAGCTGGTCTTAGAATGAAAGGGAACTGGTTTTCTACAGCAACACTGTAGACCCTTGATCTGCCATTAACATTAAAAAAAAAAATCCAGCTCCTACCTTGAACACAAACATCTCCCGGCGGAGAATGGCCAGTGTGTTGAAGTTGCCGTCGCAGATGTTGGGTTTGGCCCCAGGGTAGGAGGGTCTGCCCGTGGGTGGCCGGGGTGGCTTGGGCCTGTCATTCCTCCGGGGGTCAGCTGGGGGAAGGGAGCGGTGTGGGGGCACCGTGGGCAGAGGTCTAGTCGGTGGAGGAGTCTTGTCAGGTGGACCTTTGGGAAACATGAGGACAGAACTTGGCTCACTTAAAGCTGGAGCAGGTCTGGAAAATGTGCTACAAGAGCACAACCAAGCATCAGCGGAGGGCTCACTCTAAGAGGTCTTTAAGATTGTGTAAATTCTATAAAAAAAAAACAAAACAAAAACAAAACTGTCTGATCCAACAAACCACGGCCAAGTCTATCAGAAAATCTTCTCATTCTTGATTCTAGATCTGAGTAACTAGGCTTTCTTTGTTAATTTTTAATGACAGTTTTTACAGCAGCTTTACCTCAGTCCTCATTGAAAAATATGTTTTCAAATCTCTTTTGGAAGTAGGTGGTGTATAAATAATAAGTAAAGAAAAATGAATACTGGAACCACGCATGTTAGTGCCACAAAAGTTAATCCTAGATTTTGAGGGACAATGATTCTATGCAAATATTTCTAAAAGATAAACGTTAATGAAAGAAAGTATATTTAACCCTATGTCTCAAATTATATTTTATAACTTTTTCCTGACTTTCATCATTTTCTTCTAATGAAATGTTTTCATGAATTGCTAGAACACTTTCATGTGAATATCAAATCTAATATGCCTGTTGATTATAACACCACTAGAAAACTATTAATGTGAAAAAGTATTTCTAAAGAGAGGGGTCTAAATCAAGAAACAGTTTACACATGCAATTTAGAACAGATGCAAAGTATCATTTCTCAAGTAATTTGTGTTTTTAAAGAGAAACACAGGCCCTGTCCGGTATGGCTCAGTTGGTTGGAGCGTGGTCCCATAACCAAAAGGTCGTGGGTTCAATGCCCAGTCAGGACACATACCTGGGCTGTGGGTTTCATACCAGTCCAGGTGCGTACGATCCCTGGTCTGGGTGTGTACGATCCCCGGTCTGGGTGTACATGGGAGGCAACCAATTGATGCTTCTCTCTCGCATCGATGTTTCTCTCTCTCCCTTCCTCTCTCTCTAAAAGTAATGACAAAAAATGTCCTTGGGTGAGGAATAAAAAGAGAAAGAAACACTGATGTGTTTGCACTTAATATTAGGAGATGGAAAGACTATCCCTTTGGAGACCTTCAGTCTGGCCACTGAATTCAAGTCATGAGAAGGATGCTTGTCAGTTACAGTGGATACTCACTCAACATGACTACTCAGCCCTGAGTCCCAGACAGGTCTCTTTTCTGAGTCTCTCCAAAATCAAGAACAACATAAAAGTGGACCTGTTTTTTCAAATCTATTTAAACCATAGGAGAATGTTTACCACTGACATAGTGAAATTGAAGAACAAATGCACAAAAATTACTGAACTTAAACTATGTTATGTAAAAATGCAGACAACATCTTCTGGATATTGGATATTATTGGTAGCATGTATTGTGAATGAACACAGCATCAGAAAGCTTCATGTTATTAATTTAGGAAAGCATATTCTTTATCTGTAAATGATAAATTTCAAGTATTTAACAACTATTTGTAAAGTAAAGGTCAATGGTTCTATTGAGGTGTTAGGATTATAGCCAACATGTACAATAATTTTTCTCCTTTTGTCTTAGTTTGTATTCACTGACTGAACCAAAAAAATAAAAAAAGATTTAATTGTACTAAAAATTTACTTTGAATTATGTTACTTACCTTAGCAATTTGTTAACTTTCACTCCCATGTTGGTTAATTTTCACTCTTAGTAATTACATGCCTTTGAAATAATTTTATTGTATCTATCACACAAATGTATTTTCTAAACCCCAAAAGTGATTTGTCTAAGAAATATCTAACATCAATTATCATAACCTGAGAGACAACCTGTGAGTTTGTACCAAAGTCTCAGTATCATATAAAAGTCATATTCCTCACTGTTTTAATTGGTTACATTCATCTATTACATGTTTTACCTGAATTTAAGCACTAAAGTTGATCAGATCTTTAAGTACAGGGTTCAAGTAAACTCCGAAAATTTTTTCTGTGTTTAAGAATTTCCAACATTCTGAGGCATCTTGGACTATTGTCAACAAAACTTGATTGACTGAAGACTTTTGCCAAGGCCAGACTTTTTTTTCCCTAGTATTTCTATCTCAGATATACTTAGAACATCTATTTCAAAAAAGCAATCACAGCAGGAACTCTGTACTTCTCTGTGAGGTAAACCAAAGAGAAGCAGCGCAGCTCACCATAGATCTTCTGGATACCCTGCAGATCGTCACTGGGCAGCTGGAAGTTGTCGGTCTCCATGTACTGATAGAAAGGGGCCATGATAGCAGTAGGGTCATTGGAGTGCTCCAAGCCCAGAGCGTGGCCCAGCTCATGAACTGCTACGAGAAACAAGTCGTTTCCTGTGTGATGAGAAGACAAAACTGACTGAAAAAAAATTCAGTTGAGAGTCAAAGTGGACAATTGGGTGTTACCAACACTACCCAAGAAAAATAGGGGGAAATTTTGACTTCAGTCGAACCCCTGTTGACAGCCACCACATGTTGCCCATTCCATGAGGAAGGGCCAGTCATGTGTGTCTACCCCAGAAATTCAACTGAGGCACATGAGCATTGAGGAGTTGAAGCTGTTACACATCTAAAGATCATGTTTCTCAATGAAGAGTGGAAAACCTGTCAACATAAATGTAAGGTGTTATATGGATGCCTTGCCACAAAGGCAAATGATTTCCATGAATTTTGTATGATTTTTAAGTAAATTGTTTACAACCATTTTTTATAATACATTGTTATAATTCCCTCCAGAAGGCTATTTTTATTTTTACTGTTTTTACACAAAGCCAGGTACATAATCAACGTTTTTCACTCTGGAGTATTCTGCATAGAGGAATGGATGAAACCCTGGAGTTGACTCCCTGGTGATATTAACATACCAAAGATGAGCCATTCAAAGACCTCAGAGCCCACTTGACTCTCAAGGAATAACTGATTAAATACCAGTATGACACAAGTTAGAGGTATTCAAAAGAAACAGAAGTTAAAATTTCCAATCTTAGCCCTGTCTGGTGTGGCTCAGTGGACTAAGAGCCCGACTAAGAACCAAAGGGTCACTGATTTGATTCCAAGAGTAGGGCACAAGCCTGGGTTGCAGGCCAGGTTCTTAGCAGGAGGCGTGTGAAATGCAACCACACATTGATGTTTATCTCCCTCTTCTCCCCTCTCTAAAAATAAATAAGTAAATAAATAAATATATAACTTTATAAAAAATAATTTCCAATATTAAAGAGCCTATCTTTTCCTCTTATAAAATTATCTGAAAGTGAAAATCAAGAGAGGCAAAGAATACTATCCTACGTATTAATTTTACTAAGAAAATATTAACTACCTTTGTTAAGAGTTTACTAATTCTGTTTTGGGCATTTTGAATAATTTACTTGTATTTTCTTATTTAATTCTCACAACAATCTTATGAGTCAGTCACTATTATCATGTCCATTTTAAAACTGAGAAAACAAGGCATAGAGACATTAAGTACCATTTGCAAAATCACATATAAGTAAAGAACAGCTGGAATTCAAACTTCTCCAAGTTTGATTCCAGAGATCATCCTTGTAATTACTATAGTAAATCACAACACAACTATAAGAAGTATTGTGATTCATGACAGATTCTACATTGGAGCCCTGTAAAAGTTTCACTCATTCCATAGTCCATTCCCACCATTACCTTTTATTGCATGACTACTATACACTGGTCTAGGCCCTGATGATATAGCAGAGAACAAGTCATACAAAAAATCTGAATGGGGGAGACTGCAAAGAAACAAGAGAGAAAATTAAAACAGGATGTTAGACAGTGATAGATGATAAGGAGAAATAGAGAAAGGGTGAGGTCAGAGAGGTCATGTAGCTATGAACATACGTGGACTTTTGACAATTCTGATGTGTGGAGCTTCTAGTCTGACCATGGTGGGGTCACTGAAAGTTTTTGAGCAGAGTAGGGACACACGCTAACTTACATTTTACCAGGACTGTGGTGATTATGCTTGACAATCAGAGCAGGGAGTAAGAAAGCAGTGTGAGTTAACCTGTGAAGTTAGTGCCAAGATGCTGGTGACCTGGATGGAAGTGGGAGTGATAGAGGCAGAGAGAAGCAGTGAAATTCTTGATATATTTAGAAAGGAGGATGACTGAGCTTCTTATGGACAAGAGGCAAAGTGTGAGGAAAGAAAAAGGTAAAATACAGTACCACATGTTTGGGCCCCTGAAACTAGAAAAGTTGAAGTGCTATTCACTGAGATGGAGAAAGCCTTACGAAAATTTTTTTGTTTTTTTGTTCTTGGTGGAGGAGAGAAGTGGGCAGCATTACCAGAAGCTCATTCTTTTTTTTCTTTTTCCTTGTTTTATTTTTTTTAAATTTGTAAATCATGTTTATTCTATTACAGTTGTCTCAGTTTTTACCCCTTTACACCCCTCCACTCATCCCACCCCCCGAAAGTCAATTCCCACTCTGTTGTTCATGTCCATGGATATGTCCATGTCCATTCGTACATATTCCTTGAATGTCCCTTCTACTTCTTTCCACCATTGTCCTCTTCCTCCATCCCCTCTGGTCACTTTCAGTTTTCTCCATGTCTCCATGCTGGTGGTTTATTTTGTTCATTAGTTTATTTTGTTGAATAGAGTCCACTTAGAGGTGAGCATATGGTATTTGTCTTTCATCAACTGGCTTATTTCACTTAGCTTAATATTCTCCAGTTCCATTCATGTTGTCACAAAAGGTAGGAGTTCCATCTCTCTCTCTTTCTTTCTTTCTTAAATGCAGATCAATTTTATTTACTTTTCTAAATGTCAAAGTTAATTATAAAATATTTAAAATTTTTAAAACCATTCCAAATTCTCAGCAATTGAACATGACACCTGCACAGAAATAATCAATTAGATCAATGAAATATAATGAGCATTCTAGAGACAAACATATTTACCTGTCTAACAATGTAATATGTGATTAAGTTGATATTTCAAATCAATGGGTAAAATAAGACTTATTCAACAAATAAGGTGCATGAACCACTATTACTTGAAATAAAACAAATATAGAACCCTAATTCAAACATTATATAAGAAATATTTAGGTTAGTTAAAAACCAATATGTAGAATCTAAGGAGTTTTAAAGGAAAATAGAACTAATATTTTTCATGACCTGAAAATATTCAAACCCAGAAGCTATAAAGTAAATATTGATAATATGACTATATTAAACATTTAACTATAGAGTAATATACATATAAAAAGGGTAAAAGACAAGGAATAGAAAAGAAAAGTATTTGTAATACACCTATAAGATGGTTAATAGGTTTTTGTTTCTTTTTTGCGGGGGCAGTTCTACAAACCTTTAATCAATAAATGGATAAAGAATACCAAAAAGTCATTTAAAGCTTTTATGAAAAAAAGAATAGAAATAGGCAAGAAATATACTAAAACAGGTTTAGTTTCAACAAATAGTATGGGAACAATTAAAATAACATCATTGTCACAGATTAATGAGTATTAAAAATATTGGTAATATCAAGTATTGGCAACTCTGAAAGGAACTGGGTATTTATAGAAATTTTGCTGCATCTTAAAGCAGTCCCTTTAGCATATTTTGCAGTGGTGGTTTGGTGGAGGTGTATTCTTTTAGCCTTCTTTTGTCTGGGAAACACCTTATTTGGCCTTTCATTTTAATGGAGAGCCTTGCTGGGTACAGCAGTCTTGGTTGCAGGATCTTTGCTTTTCATTACTTGGAATACTCCTTGCCAGTCCCTTCTGGCTTGCAGTGTTTCTGTTGAGAAGTCAGATGCAAGCCTTATTGGGGTTCCCTTAAATGTTACTACCTGTTTCTCCCTTGCTTGCTTTAGGATTCTCTGTTTGTCTTTGATATTTGCCATTTTAATGATGATGTGTCTTGGAGTGGGCCTCCTTGGGTTCCTCTTGAATGGGACCTTCTGTGCTTCCTGGACATGTGTCACTTTTTCTCTCTTCCAATTAGAGAAGTTTTCCAACAATTACTTTTTCAAACAGGTTCTCTATCCCTTCCTCATCCTCTTCTCCTCCTGGTTTCCCTATTATTGGATATGATTACGTTTCTGGTTGTCCTGCATTTCCCTAAATGCCTCTTCAGTTTTTTTTTAGTCTTTGTTCATTGTCTTGCTCTTTCTGGGAGCTTTATTCTGCCTTGTCATCCAGCTCGCTGATTCAGTCCTCAGCATCATCTAGCATGCTTGGATTCCTTCTCCTGTATTCTTCAATTCAGAAATTGTATTCTTCATTTTCTCTTGTCTCTTATTGATAGTTTCTATGTCCTTTTCTTGCTGAGATAGTTTGCACTAGTTCCTTGTAGTTTCCCTGTATTTTTTTGTAATTCTCTCTGAGCTCACTGAGCTCATTTTGCTTCCTTAGAACCATTGTTCAGAACTCAATATCTGAGAGTTTACTTGCCCGTATTTCATTTAGTTCTTTTTCTGGGGATTCCTCCATTCCCTTCAAGTGGGGCGTATTTCTTTGTCTTCCCATTATTTGTGAGACTCTTCTCTTTTGCTTCTGATTCTTAAGTTGATCTGTCTTGATTTCCTGACTTTCTGGTGTGAACTTCTATGGTTGGAGACCACTGTTTTTACTTCCTGGATCTGCCTCTGATGATGTCAGATGTGGACCTTTTCTGGTCTTAGGCATTCTGTTCAAGACTTCCAGTAATCTACTGTTTGTGGCTGTCTCCTTCAGCTGTTAATCTATTCACTCTGCACTCAGCAGGCCATCTTAGTCAGCTCAGGGCAGGGAGGAGTTCCTCCTGGGGGCGGGATTATTGGGTCCTCTCACACTGATGCTGTATGTGGGAGGAGTACGCATTGGGATCATGGTGGCTACTCTCTTCTTTCTCTCCCCAAAACCTCCATTCCCAGTCTCTCCTCAAGTGTCACCAGACCTCTTTGTGCCCCCTTTAGCCAGGGATCTACTGTCTGTGGATGCCACTCTGCATTCAGCAGGCAGCCTAGACACACACGGAGGGGTGGAATCCCACCTGGGAGTGGGGCTATTGGGTCCTTTGATGCTGCTGCCATTCAAGGGGAGTGGTCTCTGCCTGACCAAAATGGCTGTTGCTGCATGGAGGACGAGTCAGTACTGTGCTCTGGCTGGCTACTCTCCCAGTTCTCTTCCCAAAGCCTCCTTCCCCAGTGTCTCCTCAGGCATCTCTAGCCCACTCTGCCCTGCCTTTGCCAGAGACCAGGGTAAGTGGCTGCAAATAAAAATTTATGCATTGGCCCTTTAAACAGTTCTTTATGTCTCCAGCCACCTATCTCTGGCAGAGAGCAACCCTGCCTCTTTTCACAGCTGGCTGTTTTCTGTGTACTTTTTGGGCTCTG